CTAAACCTTAAAGTCTTAAAGCTGTCAAGTTACGAGACCCTTGCACCCCTAACCCTTTAGAAAAAAACCCCAGGGGTGTTCAAACCTAACAGCTTTAAGACTTTAAGGTTTAGATAGGACTCTTAGAGGCGGGCGGGGCGATTGGTGAGCCAGCCAATCAGTGAGCGGTGGGTGGGGCAAGCGTGGGGCAGACGGGCGGGATGAGAGAGCTGGAACCAATTCTAAATGGCACGGTAGAGCTGGCAGGAACCCACCCATGACACACATACCACCTCTCTCAACAATTACTTTTCTACTTTCAATTTTAGTTTAGTTTAATTTAGCTTTCCCCCCCTTTTTTTGTTTTCACAAGTTAATAGATTTTTCTGCGAACCTCCACAGCCATCTCATCTCAGAAAGTAAATTTCTTTTCATTGCCCATTTTCTCAGGATCTGTTTTGAAGAACTGATTCTAAATTAATTAACTTCAACTGACAATTAGAACCCACTCTATTGATGGGAAGGAGGCAATTCCCCAATATTTACAACAGTGTATCTGATTTTAGTCTTCCTTTTTGCGTTTTAGATACGGTGCTTAAGGTTGGTTGCAAAATGAAGTCACTAAGAATAGGGATGCACTTCTTTTGAGTAAGACGTTGAATGAGAAGACTTCTTTTTATGATTTCGGACTTGCCTGTCTCTGTGCTGTGATCCAGATGGGGAGGCTTCCATTGTCCCACCAGTCAGACCTCCGCTGGGTATGGTAATAAGGCAGTTTTTGTCCAGTGCTAGTGTTGAACCACATGTTGTGAATCACTCCATGGTTTTCAGTATACTTTCCTACCAGAAGAGAGAGAAGCTTGAAATTAATTTGTATGTTGCATGAACATCTGGATACCTGGCCTTGATGAGTGAAGGCTATCACACCAGCCTAATTTCCTTCCTGTTTCTGAGGACAGCATTAGGCCACAATTACCAGAGACCTCTGCCATGGAACCACCAGTGCCTAAGGATTTTCGGCATTTTCCTAGTTTGTTGCAATGATAATTCAGTGGTGGCTCCTTGCTTTTTCTGACTGGCCGAACAACCCAAATAGAGCTTCCTTGACCAGGTTAGCAAACAGAAAATGTTATGATATTTACATAGTTACTTACCAAGCACATCTACGTTATATTAAAGTAATCAAAATATCTTTACCATCCCCAAGGCATGTCACAACTTTTGAGCATCTCTAATGTTTGGAAATCGGCAATTGAAAAATTTGACCTGCCTTATTAGTCACAGTTCAAGCTATTCTTCTAATGCTCCATTATCACCATGAAATGAGTGATTTGGCACTGCCAGGATGGATGTTGTTCTGGGCAAAATGCCTTATGGACCTCCGCCATATTTCTGGGATATTCCTCCACCGTTTTTCTTTCTGAAACATTTTATTCTATTGCTCTCTCTTTTCACCCCTTAAAGGGCTTTGGGGGGAATGAAGAAAGAGCAGGGCAAAAAGACAAAACAAAAAGACAGACAAAAAAAGGGAAAAAAGTGGCCTTTTAAACAGTGGGGGCCTAGAACTGTACCTGATAATATAGACCTAGTGGAACTATTAGCACTCTTCATTTCGCTCTTCATTTCAGCCTTCTCTCTCTCTCTCTCTCTCTCTCTCTCTCTCTNTAAACCACTTCATAGTGCTTTACAGCTTCTCTAAGTGGTTTACAGAGCCAGCCTATTGCCCCCAACAATCTGGGTCCTCATTTTACCCACCTCGGATGGATGGAAAGCTGAGTCAACCTTGAGCCAGGGTGAAACTACTAGTAGTGGAAGGCAGAGTTAGCTTGCAATATATCATTCTAACCACTGCACCAGGGGTGGTATTCAGCAGGTTCTGCTCAGTTCTGGAGAACCGGTAGTGGAAATTTTGAGTAGTTCGGAGAACCAGTAAATACCATCTCTGACTGGCCCCACCCCCATCTATTCTCTGCCTCCCAAGTCTCAGCGGATTGGGAGGGAATGGAGATTTTACAGTGTCCTTCCCCTGCCAGGCCCACTAAGCCACACCCACAGAACTGGTAGTAAATGTTTTTGAATCCCACCACTGCACTGTGCTACCATAGCTCCTGAGTCAGTGCGATGAGGAAGCACAGGTTTGGCACATAGGAAATTTTAGGTTCAATCTTGACATCTCTGGTTATGACTAGAAAACTATCTGAATCTCTGGGTAGAGTTAACGATATTGGGTCAGAGGAATCCATGGCTTGATTTAATATATGACAATTTCCCTCTGTTCAACATAATAGTGTGGCATTCAAGAACCTATAACAAGCACAATTACACACAGAGTCTCCAAATCAATACTAGTAATCACCAAGAGGACAGAACATCAGGATTTTCTAATGACAGCACTCCCACTTGACTCCATAGAGATTTAGATTTAGACAGATTAATAGTTACAAACTCAGGTTATGGTTTATTTATTTATTTAGATTTACTAGCCACCCAACACCACCGGATTCTGGGTAATGTACAAAACTAGAGAAAACATAAAAACAGCTATTTTTTTTTTTAAAAAAAATCAAATAGAAACCCAGACTAAAACAATGTAAAAGACAGCAAAATCAACAAAAGAAAACTAAGCCTTTGATCCAACAATAAACATCAATTCCAGGCCTGGGACCTAAGAGATGGTTGTATATGTGAACAATATTTTACAGCAGGGGTCCCCAACCCCCGATCGGGGACCGGCATAGGTCTGCGGCATACTAGCAACTGGGGCACACAAACAAGCGAAGTCCCATTTGCAGGATGCAGGTAGCATGTGAGACCACGCTTCCTTGGGGCGTGGTCCACGGAAGAACCTCTCTCCATGGAACTGGTCCCTGGTACCCAAAAGGTTGGGGGATGCTGCTTTACAGATCCCATGCTACATTTAGATATTTCACATCCTGCACATGGTTTTAAACTCAGTATTTTTCCATGAAACCAAATTATATATTCTTGTAAGGAATGATGAAGCATAGATCCAAGTGATTTACATGTATGTATCAAGCCGGACAGGTGCAATTTTTATTCTACTGTAGAAGAAGTGCAATTCACTCAGATGAGTTTCCCTCGATCTGCATCGATGAACACAGCTACCACTGGAGGAGTTTAAGTCTCAGAAAATTGAAGAGCGTGGCTATATTTGTGGGGCAAGCAAGCAAATATTGGTGGCATCTTGGAGGGTGAAAATCCCCATCAGTGCGGTTTTGTTGAGACACACAACCTTCTCAGATGTGTCATTTTGCTGACCCGGAGGCCTGTGGAGCAGGCAACTCATCCATCTGTTGGCTTATAGCCCTGTATGAGACAAGCATGACCTGACCTTCAATGTGGCGGAATTTTATTATGTTGACTCTCCACTTTATCAATTGCTCTGGCTTTTTATGACTTCTCTGGGGTTTTATCACTGTTGCTGACTCATCTTCCAATGAAAATGGGAATTAATATTTTAAAGGACTTATGTCATGTTGGTCCCCAGAGATTCCATGCTATCGACCTTGGTGCTTTCCTTCTGCCCCTTGCTCTTTGCATATGTTTCTGTGTGTGTGTGTGTGACTCTGTGTGTGTATGTGTACATACAATCATGTGTGTGAAGTTTATTAAGCTACAAGGAGACTTGCCTGCTTTCCTTGTTTATGCTGTTGTGGGAAGGAAAGCAAATGATATCAGCTTAATTGGATATTTTGTATGCATTTTCCCTGGGAAGCTTTTAGAACGATCAGGCCATACTGTTGATATTTAAATCTTTTTTCCTTCTTTCCACAGATGATTAAGTTCCTAACTCAGTCTCCCATAGATCTTGTTTTTTATCCCCATGAACACTTTTTGCCTTTTACAGTTCATCTGGATGCTGCTCTGTTGTCACAGAACATATGCTGTTGCTGCCAACATACTTTGATTGTTCCTGATCACACAAGGAGATTATTGAGTGTTTTATCAAATCAGACATCTGATATCCTTCCCGCTTTTAATGCTGTTCTCAGCATTCAGCAGGTTGCCTTTCAATAAAGTCACCAAGCAGCTTGTTTTCCCCCATCTCTCCAGGATCCAGTCATTCTTTATTGTAGCTACTGTTAAAATGACTATGTTTGGCAGGAATGAGAGAAGTAGAAGGAGGGGAAGACGACAAATAAAGTGGATTTCACTGAAATATCCCTGAAAAGCTGCAAATTGACATTGGAGACAAGTCATAATAGAAGGCATTTGTTTATACAGTCCCCAGCAGTCTGGCCCACCTAACTATCACATTTCGGGTGCCTGGTTAGCTACCTAAAACAGCTATCTACCTACTTTGCCAACTTATGGCAACATAATAAGATAGACTATTCTTTGCTGATAGTATGGCACTGTATCTCCCTCTTGTAGTAGGGATCTGTAGGTAGATTCATATAGGTCTGAATATTCTACACAAGAAGGGAACAGGAATGTGAGTCTCTTTCTTCCAGATGAAATTTAGTGCAGCGGTAAATCTGCATTGAATGGCATCCCTGAGTCTTTACTTCCAAAGATCTCTTAATCCTTGATCCATTATTTCAGCCATCCAAACTTGGAGCTTTTCAGATGCTTGATGTAAACCCATCATCTTTCCCAGGCATCATCGCTGCTAATGCCCAATTGGAGAAGCATGAATGGTTCCTCTTTCCTTTCCTTCCCTTTGCATACTTTCCAATTTTGCATATTTTCCCCAATGACATTTTATGATCCTGGTATCTGGAGGGCCATCTTTGCCCAGGCAGTTCACAGGTCCAGTAGCACAGCCAAGAATGAATGAATTCAAAGTTCTGGCTATCACAGGGTTCAGAGAACAAATGATTACCCAATTAATGACTGATGGTGGGATAATGGGAAACAGGGCCAGAACCAGGATCTGGATATGCCAGGGTCCTCTGAAGATAATATGACATCTTTTTAAAACAACATTATTTTAATTGATTTCAGTCTGAAGCAAGGGGATTAGATAGGTTCATGATAATGTATGCTCACTACACTAGATAATTCATTATACATTATATATATATGTATGTATGTATGTATGTATGTATGTATGTATGTATGTATTACATTTTTCTACAACAAAGCAGTGTATGTTTCCAATGAATTTGTTTAGCACTAGAGCAACAGATCTAATTCCACATTAGTCATGTGTCATGCAGTTCTGTGATTTAAGAGAATTTTAAAAAGATTGAGGAATGGAAAAGTGTGTGCGCCAGACAACCTGTTCTCTTTGTGTGCAGTGGAAGATATTGCATAGCCAGTACAGAAGCAAGAGTGCCAGGCCAATCTTTATGTGGAAGTCAGTTAAGGTGGTAGTGTCTTGTATAGTAAGTATTTGGAATTGCCAACTCTCATCCTCACCCCCATTTTCCTGCCAACCTACCAGCCATGAAATNTCTGTCTCTCTGTCTCTCTGTCTCTCTGTCTGTCTCTCTCTCATTCTCTCTCTCTCTCCTACTGAAGTTTTTCTTAGTGCCTGGGATCTCTCCCTCCTATACCTGTTCAGCTATGGCAATGACCTCTCTTTAGAGATAGATGCCAGACAATCTGTAGAGATGTTGTCACCTTGGACTCCCACACAAAAATCTCTTGGATAGTCAAATAGTCTTTTACAAATCCAGAAAAATGCCTCCTTTCTGGTTCTCTGGAAACATGCAGCACATGGGTTCTACTTATTCTTCCTTCTTCCATCTACTCACTTAACCTTCCAGGTTTTTGTCTATTGGTCCCTGAGAACTCCACTCCTGCAATTCTTTAGTAAGATAAAAAAAATTCAGGTGCTGGACCATGAAATTATTGCTAGATAATAGGGCAGGCCAACAGGGAAATTGCGTCTTGGTTATAATGTCATTGGTGCTTCAGCTTTCTCCAAATACAGGCACTGATCTAAAATAGTCTCTTTTAATTATAAAAAGTAAAGACTCCCTTAAGTCAAGTTTGATTTCAAGTGACTTGATTTATTGATTTGTTTAATATACTGCCTTTCCTCTATAAGCTCAAGATGGCATGTACTGCGTTCCTTCCTTCTGAATAATACCTACTCATGCACTCTCCTTGGCAACTATTCAGAAATGGTTTGCCATTGGCTTCTTCTAAGAAAATCTATGACTTCCCAGTCTAGACAGCCACTCCAAAATCCTCCTGATGGTCTTAACCCTGGTTCAACTTGGTTCAACTCTGCCTACGTATCTCTGGTTAACCAAGCTCAGCAAGTTGCATACCACCATTGCTTTAAGAATTCTAATCATGCCTATGTTCTGATGGAAAACAGTTAGAGGAAGGATCTGTTTTGCTCATCAGCTACAATTGCCAGAATTCCAAAAGTGCTTTTTTTCAGGAGGCAACTGGACTTTTCTTGTTTTTTCTTTTGAAGATGTTTCGCTTCTCATCCAAGAAGCTTCTTCAGCTCTAATGATTGACAAATGATGAAATATTTGTGTTTTTTAAAAGAAATAAAACCTTATCTATAATCAAGAAGCTTCTTCAGCTCTAATGATTGACAAATGATGAAATATTTGTGTTTTTTAAAAGAAATAAAACCTTATCTATAATCAAGAAGCTTCTTCAGCTCTGACAGGATAGTGGAAGCTTCTTGGATGAGAATCGAAACATCTTCAAAAGAAAAAACAAGAAAGTCCAGTTGCCAGCACCTTTGGGACAACCGTGACCTGGATGACTGAGAATCTACAGAGAATTTTAATAATTATATGATATTTCCCACAAAAAGTGTAGCTCCTCAAAAACTGACCCAAAGGTAGATCTAGAAAGGTTAAAGTTTGGACGCACTCTAAAGGAAACAAATGAAGTGCTACACTAAGTACCTACTGTGCTTAAGAGCAAGTTGTGCAGTGCCTTAAAGTATTAATTCACAGCAGAGTCATTGTACTTTTATTATTAGTATGATGGCACATTTCCTCAGTGTGAAAATAACGGTCAAAAAAATTTCCTATAGCAAGGACTAATAACTTGTATTTTCCGAAGCTACTACATTATGATCACTATCTGAAGGTCCAGATAATTCAATTTTTCCCCAATGCTTTTATGAATGACCAGTGCTGAGAATAAAATCTCCGTCAACTAGCTGTGATCTTCAGGAATGTGGGTGAGTTTGGGGGATGGAGATACTCTGAGAGATCAAACTGTTATCAAAACAACCCTCCAAGAGATGCATTGCCAAGGCTTCAATCCTAACATGATGAAGAGTCACACAATGCAACTTGCTTCTATTTTCTTACTGATGAAATGTGAGCAACATTGTTTTGGAGGCTTGGGGTTAAGGATGAGAATGACAAATGCTCCCGTTCCCACCTTTAACACCATAAACTAAAAAGGTATCATAAACAAACAGTGCTATTCCTCCCCAGTGACACATCCATTTCAGATTCCCATTTCCCCCCTCTCTCCTACCTTTCCGTCCCACCCCTTCCCTTCCAGCACTCACCTGTGAGCAAAGTGAAGTGGCTGGGGCTTGTCTGGGTGACAAAAGGGGGAGTGAGGTAGCGTGCCTTCACCCCATCTCTGGCCATGGCGTCCAGATTGGGGGTGTCCACATCCTGATCATAATTCCACCGAAAGCCATCAAAAGAAACAAGTAGAAGCTTGTTGCGGCTTCTGGTCTCTTGTGGTGTCCCTTGTAGTGGGGCACAGACTGTAAAGGAAAGCCAGGCACTCAGGAATGCCAGGAACACAAACATCTTCCCAAGCAAGCAAGAGAGGGAAAGAAACAAACACCCCAGAAACCTGCGTAATAAGTACATGACAGGGTCTCAAGTTCAAAGTCTTATCTGATCCACTCCCTGCTCTTGGCTTTAGGACAACTTCCTGCTGGGGTTTAAAGGGTTCATCCTATACATTTTATTCCTCTGCGTGTGAGAGACTGGGACTTGACATTAAATTATTTCCCCTCTTCAAGCTCATTGTTATCTAATTCCATTTACTCACCTATGGTAACCTCTATGATCATAACCACTATGACCAAGTACAACAGGAGTTGTATGCTTGGACAAAAAATAGGAGTGGAGTGGAATCAGGTACTGTATGCTAGGAGATAGCCAGACATTCAAAAATCCATATACTCTTAGCTGAAATGGTATATGTTTTTCTTACTGTATCACTAAATCCACAATGAATAGAAGAATCCAAGATGAATAGGAAAAGAATAGATTTGAATTATTTCTTAGTGCGTTAATTCAATAAATAAGAGACAAGGATAGCAGCACATGAAAGATGAACAAAGTTTACGTTTTGCACTACATGCAATGAAGTGACAAAATTTGGACTGCTCCACTGAGTTCATTTCTTTAGTCCTCCCCCCAATAAAAACACCCCTTCGTACAGTAAGCTAGGATATCAGTAAGAGAACTGTGCTAAACCCTATTTCCTATGCTAGTGCTTCAAGTGCAAGGAGCTTTTTATGTAGGGAGGAAACATTTTAAAATATTAATAATGTGTTACCTATGTTTCAGATTAAAACAATAGTAAGGCCTGTGCTACATAATTCAGTAGCTGAAGTGGGTGGGAGTTTAGCTGTCAGCAGAGTCTCAAAAACATGTGAAAAATAAATATAACAAACTTGTGGACTCCATAGAAAAAATTTGAACTATAAATATAATGCACTTATAATCATATTTACACTATTTTATAGAATTTAGTGTTACAAATCTTAGAGGGTAGAGTTTGATCCCCTAAAACAATGATGGCGAACCTTTTTGGCACCAAGCGCCCAAGTTGGAATGTGTGCACGCATGTATGTGCCAGAAACCAGAAGAACAGCTGCCAATGGCGCGTGTGCCCACAGAGAGGGCTCTGTGTGTCACATCTGGCACACTTCTGTGCCATAGGTTCACCATCACTGCGCTAAAAAGTATTTTGGGTTTGATATTTTAATACAGATTATATTGTACGTATAATCAGCAGTCAATTGTTTCAGAAAGTGTGGCTGAGAGATCATGGATGGGAGATGTCAAGATTGATTTGCTGGAGTAGTCATCAGAAATGTAGATAATGGAGCAGTCCTATTCTGGTTAAAAGGGAAATGTTGAAATGGATTAAAATGAGAAAAATCTAAAATGCTAGTAGGACCAGCTATACTTTCCATGCGAACAAACCATACATGCTAAAACTGAACACATACTCGAAGAAAAAGCAACCCATTATATATTTTGGTTTCCAGTTTGTTAAATGTGAGGATTTCTAAAGACACACCCACATTTCACTTTTGAATTCCACCTGTCCTGTGCTCATGGCAGTTTAAATTCAAGACATTAAAAAATCCCCACTTGTTTGAACTCTTTAGCAGCAACTTGCATAGTATTCAGTCCAGACTGCAGGCGGTCATATTCTTCAATTCAACAATTCACTTTACCTCTATGTCCTCCTATTATTCTCTCTAATCTTAATAGACATACCTACCTACCTACCTACCTACCTACCTTCCTTCCTTCCTTCCTTCCTTCCTTCCTTCCTTCCTTCCTTCCTTCC